ACCTCCTTACTTACCTACTGCCACCCACTGCACTGTCCAGAAGAAGACTGAGGACACGTGGGGCATGCAAGCCACGTAGCAGCGAGTAGCTGAGCTTTTAGTGAAACGTACATGCATTAACGGGCGACAAAGTTCGTCTAGTCCTCACAGATCAATGATCACAACAAAGCGGCTGCAAACGGAAGCGAAAGACACACACCGAAACGGAAGGCAATAGCGAAGAAGCAAGCAAAAAATGGTCAGTCCAAACACGCAGAAGACAGCCAGTCGAAACACACACCGCGACGAACAGAGACGCACAGATGGAACGCGCGAAGCACACGGAGCATACAGACACTGTATGCCATGCTCAAGACACACAGCGCCATGCTCACGGCACTTGTACAACGGCCCTGCCGGAGCCGCCGGCTATTGCGAGAGGCTCAGCACATGCACGTCGTCGGCCTGAAAGCGCCATTTGCCTCCGAAATACGCCGCTCCATCGTTATCAGCGCCGCCATGCTCAGCTCTCGACCCGCGATACCCCGCAGGCACATCACGGTTGTCCACCCAGTGGCGGCAGCTGAGCACATCATCACCAGGAGAGCCATTAGCGCCACCGGCCAGACTTAGAGTGCCGAGAAACAGCCGAGCAATGCAGAGGCGTACGTTTCCGCCGCACTTCAGAGGCGGGTTGCCCTCCGGCCCGGCCACCGTCACACGCTTCTCCCACGTGTGGAGCAGCTTGATCTTGGTCGGCCCATCGAAGTGCCCGGCCAGCGAGAAATGCCACAGATCAGAGCTGTATGAGTCGAATCCTCGTGGATCCTCAGGGAGCTTGAGGCCGTCACCCATGTAGCCCCCGAACACGTAATCGTCCTTGCGGATGACAAACACCAGCGGCCCTGCGTCGCGCACACAGCGGAGCAGATCTTCATAGCGGGAGCCATCGCAACTCGCCCTGATTGCAATGACAGACAGGATCGACAGAACGACCACACGCTCATTCATCATGTATATATACCACGGGTTTGTACCCACACACCTGTAGAGCAGCCGCAGCTGCCTGCCGTCCACCCAGCCGCGGAGAGCATCCTGCTGCTCGTCTGTCAGGCCCAACACACCAGCAGAAGCACTGACGGCGGTCGAGCCGGTGGGCGCCTCCTTGGTCGGGCTGTATTGGGGTTCAACGGGCGACGCAATCGGTGCCTCATCCGCATGAGAGCCGCTTGCCATTGTCGACTCCAGCTGCGGGATCTGTTGTCGAGCCTCTTCCAATCTCAGCCAACGGCGATGGAAGGGAGCGAGGCACCAACGGCTTGCATGGCAGACCGGCCGAATAAAGCTTGTGCAGAGCTGCAGCTGGTAGATCAGGAGGAAGGCCGCTTTTGCGAGCTTAGGGGGGAGGAGAGGAGGGGATGGAAAAGTGATGTTAGAATCCCTTCTTCCTCCGCAGCAGAAACACGAATCTCATATCGGTTCCCTCGAGATCTCTCACAGAGGAAGACGACTGATGGCCGAGGGCAGGGAGGTGCGCTTCCCTGTTGACGACACCGAGTTCGCAGACGCTATAGAGAAGTTTCAGCAGGTGAGTGAGTGAGTGGGTGGGATGGTAGGGAGGGACCCTCTGGATGAGTGCGCTGTGCATCGTTCAGATCACTCTGCCATGGCTGGAATATCGCAAGTTCATCCGCAGGTGATTGCTTGAGCAGGCAGGGAGGCACGTGGATGCGTGTGTGATGTGTACTCATCAGATTTCGAGGTTCGTTAGCAGGCCTTGACTTGATTCGTTGACGCCGATGGCGAAAGCCATTCAGACAGCAAGTCGATGGATGGATTGATGTATGTGTGTGTCTGTGCTACTCATTCACTCATTGAACAGGTCACTATCGCCGTCACTCCCGTGGTCGCACTCTGCTGGTGTTCGCCCTGCTGTGCATCCTTTTCGGCATCGCTTCCATCGAAATCTGCAACAAGGAAGGCCGCATCAGTAAGTAAGACACACCATCATCCAGGCTTGCCTACTGTCAGCCTCATCGGACTCTGTGTGACCTCCTGTGTGATGTGTGTGATGCGATCGCAGGTATCAACTTCCAGTACGGTAAGGCTCAGCAGTGTGTGTGTCACTTGCCACGTCGTGCTGCATGTAGTGACTGTATGCATTGCGTGTGTCATATTCAGGGCCCGACATTGGGCGCAACACCGTCTTCGGCTTGGGTGTAGCCCTCCTGCTGGCGGTCATGTTCTGGATGGCATGGACGCAAGTTCAGCTCAACCTTAGATGGTTTGCATACAACCAACCGAAAAGACGCCATCGATCTCATGATCCCATCTCATCCCTCCTTGGTGGATGTTTGCTTAATTGTCAGGTGTTTGTACTTCAGTTACGCGACGATGATTGCCCTCCTCATCGCTGTGATCTACAAGGGCAGTGAGCAAGGTAAGTACAGAAACAACAAGACCAGCAGGCAATGGACCTTCGTGTTTGTCTGCGCATCAGGCTTCAGCTGCAGCTCTCAGTGTGACTCCGAGTCAGCCGGGGGCTGTCCGTCGAACGGCACTGCCGCGGATGCGAATCAGCCGGGGGTCCCCGGGGATCGTGACATGGCGATGCTTCTGACATCACTGGGCCAGGGAGGGGACCCGTCCTCGCCAACCGGTGACAATATGAGTGTGCTGCCGGTGCTCTTTTTCGTTTACCTTATCGGCCAAGTCCTCATCTTTCTCGTCTCACAGGTGGGTGGGTGTACATACAATACACGGTCAATACATATGGGATGGGACTCATGTGTTTGTTTGTTCCTTTGCTTCCTCATCTCCTCGATCGAATCGATGCAGTTCTGCATCCATGTGCTGCCGTTGGTGATGCTCAACGGATGGTGCGGTGTCAAGCAGTGCCGTCTGAGAAGGTGGGAGATCATCCATGCGTCGGTGCTCCCACCCAGACCTCCACCCCACCCCCCGACCCTTGGCAAGGCCGACCTGGGCGCTGCGGCACGCATCTATGTCTTCCAGCGCATACCCATTATGCGTCGGTACTGCTCTTGCCTACTGGGGGCTCCTGGCAGACGGCTATCGAAGCGAGGCGGACACAGAGCGAGGTGACGCGGCCGGGGGAATGGGCAGACACGCTTCGTTTGAGGCAGACGGGCAGATTTAGAGAGGCCTGCCTGCCTGCCTGCCTGGTTTGTCCGCTCGTTGATCAGGTACGTGGGTGAAGTGGATGACGCAGGCCTACCGCACGGGTGAGATGAACGAACATTCCAGTGCCATCACACCTACCCTCAACGATGGATGCCAATTCTATCTGTCTTCCTGTCGCAGGTTTGGACGCTGGCGTGAAGGTGAGCGGACGGAGAGTCGGAACTTCATCGAGACACGGAGAAGCAATGCGGAACTACTTGTTGTTTGGTCATCAGATGAGTACCATGGGGAGGAAATCGTTGGCTACTGGAGTCACGGCCGGCCGTGTAGCCCGTTCAAGGCTCGCGAGGTCGGCACGGGCAGCGGCTTCATTTGCATGGTACGTAACCAAACTGATACAAACAAAAGGGGCAGACCGAATCAGCGAACACCGTGTTTGCCTGTTAATGTGAGAATTTTTCAGACGTTGGGTTTCGCCAAGGCGTCCCTGCCTGGCACTTCTCAGTCTCGCCGTCGTCCTTCGCCATGCCCTGGCCTTGCACCGCATCTCGGTGGTGACAGTCGCAGCCCCAGTCCGCCATCTCGCTACCCGTCGATTGCTGGATGGCTCCACGACGTCAAGGGCCTGCTGTGGGGCGTAGCTGAGGTCGAATGCAGCGTCTCTGGAGCCTTCTTCAGAGGTAACGAATTCGCCATGGCACGAGGGCATCAGTTGCATCCCTCCTTCCTCCTTCTACTGCGTCAGATTTCCCCCGTGTCGCAATCACCGATTACCCATTCCCTCCATCTCTGCCCCAGGCGACCCCCTCGCCGTCCACACCGGGCCACCCACCGACGGCCCGCACGGCGCGCCAAACAGCAAGTGATGTCCCGCCAGCTCTCCTCGGCGAGGCATCTTCCGTCTCTGCGCCTGCGTCGGTCGGCCAGCCACGCGACAGCAGTGGGTGGGAGATCGTGAGAGAGATCGGGCTGGAGAGAGATCCTTACGGACCGGCCCCCTTGTCTATGGGTGGAGGGAGGAGCGGGGAAGGAGTGTCGCTGTGTCGGGAGGTGGACGTGGATGCGGCAAGCTGGTCTCTGGAGGGGCTGAGGATGAACGTGAGTGAGCATACACACAGAACAGTGCAGCCATGCCATGTCTGCCTTAGTTACTGGCCGCCAAAGCGGACTTTGTTGTTTCTTGTCTTTGACTGGACTGCAGGTACCCAGCTTCACTAGTTCGATTGGCACCTCGTCTGTTGTCGTGAGTGTGGATGCTGAGAGAGGTAGGTTGGCAATTCAACACAAGACAGCACAGCACAACATGACACAACACAAAACACGACCACCCAGCGCAAATCGATTAATCGCCACCCCTTGCCCACCCCTTCATCCATTCTTTGTGGTGCCTCCTTCCATCGCATTCAGGTCTGTTCGTCTCGGGCCACGTGTACGAGCCCTCTGCGCAGGCCTCACACCGCGAGCACGCCCACGCCCCAGCACATCCCTCCGAAGTGCGAATTCGCGCTGCCCCCCGGCACCCCACTCGCGAGCATGTGTCATGGGAATGGATCGGCCAGAACAACGGCGTACAGCCAGCAGCTGCTCGCGATGGGGGCGATCTCGAGGCGGGCATTGTGGACGGTGATGCCGGGGCCGCCACGACAGAGACCGGCACAACAGAAAGGAGCTTCGTTGGCTCACAAGTAGGCGGGAGGGCACTGCCCTGTCAGGCAGAAGGCCAGTGCACCGGATCCATCCCATTTACTCTTCCCTCTTTCAGGGAGATCGCGATCGCAAGCAAGAAGAGGCGAGGCAGGCGTCATCTGGCAGGCGAGGATGGACATGGAGGTGGGGCTCGAGGGAGGGAGCCAAGGGCGACAAGCCGGCTGGCGACCGTGATGGGCACACCGACGATGGGTACCATTACTTCCCCCGTGACGAGGCGGATTTCTCGTTTGAGCGGGTCGAGCTGTCGGTGGACGGCTGGCAGAGGAAATGGGATGACAGGGCGGCGAGCGAAGCCGTCATCTTCGTCCCAGGTGTGCATGCGACCGACCGTTGGCGATTGGTATACGGTCCGGTCCCCCTAGCTCAGCTGCCTCCCATGATGTGCTGTCTGTGCCTCTGTGCCTCGCTCGGTGCGTGTGTTGTATGGTGTTGTGTGCAGGGTACAACTGCAGCCTGGCAACGGGACTGAGGCTCTTCGCGCAGCTCGCCAGCTTTTGCTCGCTGCCATCCTACATGAAACCTTTCCTCTTTCACTGGCCTGGAGGTTAGTGAAGTGCAGTGCACGACGCACGGATACGGGTGGACAGCCAATAGCTGGGCTCCACTCCACTGGCATGTCTGTCTGTATCTCCTCCCTGTTGTTGCGTTCATTTCAGGCCACACGCCCTTTGCGTACTACAGCGCGATGGAGAACGGGTCATCGATTGCGTGTGGCAAGAACTTCGTGGCGTTCTTGGTGGCTCTCCAGGCTACTGGTCAGCTGCACGCACTCACTGCACTAGAGCGGCACACCCACTCGTTCATTCAGCAATTGTCAAGAACTTTTTTACTTTTTGATGGCACACACAGGTGTCCAGCAGATCCACCTGTTGGCCCACTCGATGGGTGCTCGCGTGGCTCTCAACGCACTACGTCTCTGTGCCGAAGAGGGGTGGGTGAATGACCAGCACAGACAGACACACAGACAGACAGACAGACAGCGCCACTTCACTGTGCAACACAGATCCTCTTGTGTGTCGGGTCGGTTCAGGTTGTTCCGCCCCTGCGATCTTCAGCCCTGGGGTCTCCAGCAGCAGCAGCAGCAGCCGTCAGGCACCAGCCCACCCCTCCTCTCCGACGACAGCTCGGCGGCCGCTCAGCCGTCGATGTCTCAGCCCCTCCCCCCGCCCCTTGAGCTGGTCACCGCCACCTTCCTCAACCCCGACTACGAGCTGGACGACTTCGTTTCGCAAGACCACACCCTCCTTCGGACGTTCTGCAACATGATCACCATCTATGCCGATACGCGCGATCAAGTCAGTACCTGATTTATTTGATTTTGAGGGGGCGGGGGGGAAGGCTTCATTCATTTCATTCAAGCTTTGAGTGTCCCTCCTGTTGCTGCTTGTCTTGTCAGGCCCTCTACTACGCTGAGATGTTCAACCGCAAGAGCAGCCTGGGCCGCCGGGTCTTCTCACTTCGCAGGCCCATAGTCCCCGCCGAGCCCGCCTCACCATCTGGCAGTCGCGTCGCCCATCGAGGACACGACGACGGTGTCATGTCTGGCCGAGGCACCAAGCCGCCGAGCATCATCAAGGCCTCCCAAGTCGGCCGTAGCAGCGGCACGGAGGGGTGGGGAGGGAGGGGCGAGGTTGCCAAGAGGGAGGCCGAGTGGCTCGACGTGGACGTGATTGACACGACCTTTGTCGAGCAAAACGTCCACGCCATCCGACATGTAAGGTGGCAGCTATATATAGAGTGGACAGAGAGCCACGCCGCCCACGGTCCAGATCTCTCTCTCTCTCTCTCCCTCTGGCGTGTGTGTGTGTGTGTGTGTGCAGGTGTTCTACACGCTGAACCGTGAGATCATAGACGACATCCGTGAGATCCTGACGACCCGGCGGCGTGCGAGACAGCGGACATCGCGCCTCGACCGTAGGGAGGGAAACGTGTGGGTGTACCGGGTCGCACCGTCCTTCCTGGTCTCCGTCACCGGATGATAGAGCTATAGCTCTGGGGGGGTGGGTGGGTGGATTGAATGAATCGTCGGCTCGTCTGCGGCTGCATGTGTGTGTGTGTGTACCTGCTGTCCTCTCTGAGATACTTTGCGGAGGGACGGACGGACGGCCGTATCTATCAGACCGACTTGGATGGTACTTTTGTTGTTTGTTGTTTGTTGTCGTTCAATCCTTCTTTCTGGCGATAGCGCTGTGCACCTTCTCACGGTCGATGTCTGTGGATGGACTTACGGTGGTGTTGACTGGACATCGAATGTTCCATCCTTCCCACCTGTTACCACGAGGGTCACGTCACATCACGTCCCACTTAACCCAGCCGCATATATATCTTTTTTGCATACGCACGCAACCTCCCTGTGTGCACATTGACACACTCCCTCCCTCACGGACAGTACCCCCTCCCCTCCCTCGGAGGTTTGGCCCATCCATCCATCGCTCTGTCTGTCTGTCTGCCTCTCTGTCTGTCTGTCTGTCTACCAGCCCCATTTGCGTTTTCTCGGCAGCGGTCCCCTCTTGATTTTGGTGAAGGCGCTGTAGCCCCGCCAGTGGACCGGCTCCCGCAGCCGCACCTCGTTGGGCAGCACCTTGCTCACATGCGCCTCCAACTCGGGGAAACTCACACCCAACCGATCCACCGCCGTCGCACACTTGAGCAGCTGCAGGCATCACACACAGATGTGATTTGGCTGCGTGTGTGTGTGGATTGGATTGGTTTGTGTGGTTGCTCGGCTCGGCTCGACTCGCCTCGACGACGGTGAGTTTGTCGACTCCGTGTGTCTTGATGAGTTCTATGACGGCCGTCTGCAGGTCGTGGTCACGGTAGGCCAACTTGCTGCACGCCGACAGGTACTTGATGCCAAGGGCGGGCGTCACGCGGCCGCACGACAGTGCCGCACCCAACTCGATGCTGGCCTTCTGTAAGGCAATCACAGACACCATCTGAGATGGTGCGGCCTGGTATGGGTCGTGTCGTGTGCGTGTTTGCCTGCCTGCCTGGAAGAGTGGCTGGTCGTTGAGGTGCACCTTTGCCCAGGCGTGATACACATTGACAATGTCGATCACACCCAAAGCCTTGAGGCGCGAGCCGCGAGACGGCCGGCCCTCAGCTGGTGGCTGCTCATCAGTAGCAGCAGCAGCTGATGGCGACACTTCTGGCACCGACACCCCGTGGTCCGATCCCAGCAGATCTCTGACACACACGCACATCCGTCCATCCATCCATCCATCCTGGGGTCGCTAGGCCGGCTCACGCACTCACTCGATGACCGAGCTGTCGTGGGCTGTGTGTGGGGAGGGCGACTGCAGGACGATGGACAGCACTTTGAAGGTTTGTGGGCTGCGGACCAGGAACCGCGCCATGGCCATCGCCAGGTTGAGCACCTCGACGGCTGTCGTGTCCTTGAAGGCCTCGCCAATGGTGGAGTCGGTTCGGTGCAGAGTGCGGCTGATGAGCGTCGCCACACGGTCCGTCAGCACCGGAGAGGTCGCACCCGAACGCGCCAGAGATATCAGCAGCTGACCGATCGACACGCACATCATCACACAGACAGACAACAGAGAGAGATGCAGGTCAGAATTGTGCGTCGGCCGCTTCCCATCTGTCGCTCATCTCACTTGGCTGATTTGCGGCATGGTGAACTGGTGGAGCTTCTTGCGAGCCTCGACACACAAGAGGTCGAAGAGCACCGGGTGCTGCAGGTGGAACTTGGCGTAGGCGTAGACGGCATCGGTGATGTCGCCCGGCGTCAGCTGCGTCAAGAACCGCCCGTCCTTCAAGAGCTCCGCAGCCGCCTTGAACAACATCTAACGCCACACACACACACACACACACACACACGGCGAACATGCCCCCCGCCACACCCACACCCCCACACACACAGCTGAGCTGACCGACACGCCCTACCTACCTCGTTTGGGCATTGTGTCCTGGCGAAAGCGGTGAGGAGTGCCACCATCTGTGAGGCCGACAAGGAGCACACAAACTGGGCGCCCGTGCCGTCCTCCTTCGGCTCCAGGAAGGTCTGCGAGGCGCGCTGAAACAGCACTGGGGTCTGCCACACACACACACACACTCGATGGATGGATGGATGGATGGTCCCCAACCAACGAGCCCCCACCCACCCACCAGTGTGTGGTCTCTGAGGTGCATCCGGCCCACACACGCGAGCACGTTGCTCAGGTCGCCGGCCGAGAAGGCCCCCACGTGGTCTTTGACGATCTTGAGGCACACGTCGAGCAGCTCCATCGACACGCCACACAGGCCCTTGGCAGTGAGCCGCTCGTACGCACAAATGAAGATGGCGATGCTCTCGGGCGTGGCCGACGACAGTCGGATTTTGTCCCTCATGCGCGTGGCCAGGGCGGCGTAGAGGGGCGCGCTGGCGTGGCCCGACAGGGAGAAGGCTGACGTGAACTGACAGACAGATACCCATCCATCCATCCATGCAACGTGTTGTGTGTCAGTCAGTGTGTGGGTGCGTACCATGGCGATGTGCATGGCGGTCATGCGGTCCATTTCGCCCGATATCCTCTCGCCGCACAGCTCCGCCAGCGACAGCCGCCGCACGTCAGCCGCTACAGCAGCCTCGAGCGCCTCGCGGTCCGTCAACACACGAGGTGGAGAGGGAGAGGGAGAGGGGGAGGGGAGTGGATCGGCCTCCGCTGAGGCGTGTTGCTGCTGCTGGTTGTCGACGTCGGGCGTCTCAGCCCATCCTGCCTGGACGAAGCAGCCAAGCAGAGTTGCCGCATCCTGATACCCAACACACGCACACACACATGCAGACAGACAGATAAATGTGCAGTGCATCGCATTATCCTATTTATTGTGCGCACACACGTACGCACATCGATCACATACGTCGAGGTGCAGCGGAGCCGGGTCCTGCAGGAGGGCTCTGAACCGCCTCGCAGCCGCCAGCCAGAAGGGGTGGTCGTCATAGCCATCGACCACCGCACTCTGCACGGCCAAAGACAGCGACGCGCTGTCCATCCCCACCATCCTCGGCGCACTCACAGCCTCGTGGGCCGCAGCAGGACCTGGGATCTTCCTCACGGGCACCCTGGCTGCTGCTGCTGATGCTGATGCTGCTGATGCTGCTGCTGTCCTCTTGGTTGCCGTGGCGAAGTGCTTGGCAGTGTGGTGGACGACCAGTGGCCTGCGTGGGATGGGAGGGAGGGGCAGGGGGAGGTGGGAGTGGGTAGTGGAGGAGGGTAAAAGGAGACGCTCGACGCCAGATGCACGCATGGCATCGGTCGATTTCTCACGCTGAGGGAGGGAGCGAGGGACACAGTGGCGCTAAGGCGTGTGCAGATCTCACAGAGAATCCAGGTATAAGGGTTTTCAAACCCTGCACCCTGCACGGCGTGCTTATTGCGTGATGTCCTGCGCCGCCGCACCCTTAATTACCCTCACACCAGCTAGGCCCCACGACCGCATCGCCGATATCTGGTAAGTCAGTCACTCTCCTCACACGCACGCAATCAGGCGGCCCACCGCGCTTGTTGGAGGGCCGGTGTAAAGACAGACACACAACACACATGCACACACAGAAACGGAAAAGAGAGTGTGGTCGTATCGAGACTGACGTGCGATAGACAGGTAGGTAGATCGACAGATCGACACACACCGAGGGTGAATTGGCTCGCTCATGCAGCGAAACCTCTCTGATGAGTGAATGAGTGAGCTGGGGGTAAGTGCGCTTGTGGTGGGCGGGGGGGCGGGTGGGCTACACTCATGCAGTGCACACACAGAGAGTGAGTTAAATAGTCCACGCCCACACACGTAAGTAAGGTGTCTGTCTGTCTCTGTGCGGGTGGGTGTGCCGGGCCCACCACACAGACAGACAGACAGACCACACACCATCCCTCATTGGTCCACCCCTTTACGCCTTCTGTTCGAGCGACTCCAGGATGTTGAAGAACTGGTTCTCCAAATCGACTATCTTCCGCTCCTGAAGACAGACACAGAAGAAGCTTAAGCGTGGGAGGTTGTGTGTGTGTCTCTGTGGGTGCGTGTGTGTGTGTATATGTGTGTGCCTGTGTGTGCCTGTGTGTGTCTCTGTGTGTCTCTGTGTGTGTGTGTGTGCTCACGAGGGTATCGCTTTCGCTGCCTTTGGTGGTCTTCTTGCTGGTGGGCGAGGCGGCCTCGTCGGCGGCCTTGACGTTGGCCAGCTTGACGACCTCCTCCTGCACAGACTTGAGAAAGACCTCCAGCTGATGCATAGATGGCATGGATGACGCAGAGAGAGAGAGAGAGAGTGCGCACACCGGGTTTCTCGAGTCATAATCTCTCTCCCTGTCTCTGTCTGTCTGTGTCTGTCTCTCTCTCTCTCTCTGTGTGTGTGTGTGTGTGTGTGATGGGTGACCTTCTCTTGCTGTGGCTGGGGCAGGTTGACGATCATCTGACCAGCAACAACAACACTCGCACAGCCGATGGGATAATGGATGGATCTGTGTGCTGTGCGCCGTACCTCCTTCATGTGTGTGACGATCCGTGTGGAGTTCTTCTCGTGTGAGGCTTTGGCGGCCTCCCAGTGGGGCTTGATCGGACGGCCTGGATGACCACACACACACACACACACATGATAATGACAGAATGCCTTTCTCTCCCTCTCTCGGTGCGGTGTGTGTCTGTCGCCCACTTCTGTAGCTGGCTGCTGCGGTGAGGAGGCCATCATTGACGTGTGACACATCCTGAACGAACAAAGGCACAAAGGACAAAGGATGAATCTGTGTGTCTGTGAGTAAGTGTGTCTGAGTTGCTCGGCTGCCTGCCTCGTAAAGGTCTCTGAGGTGGCTGATGATGGTCTTCTGCATCTCAATCCGGTCAAGCTGCTCCTTCTCACCCTCCTAAACACACACACACACATCCATCCATCCATCCCTCCCTCTCTGTGTGAGGGTGTGGCGTGGTGGGTCAGTGCAGTGGTCTGGTCGGTCAGCTGGTCTGCTCTGGTCCATCGCATCGCATCGCCTGCCTTGAGTATGCGCAGGGTGAACCGCCCGGAGAGGATGTAGAGGGCGTATGGGATGAAGAAGAACAGGATGATGACCAGCGGCTTCTCGTACGTCGCAAAACCGCCGTACTCGTATGTCACCTAACAACAACAACGCCATGCCTGCCATCCTCCGCCATGTGGTGTGTGGTGTGTGGTGTGGTGTGCTGTGTGTGGAATGGAATGGAATTGAATGGAATGTACCTCCAGTCTGTCCTGGAGTGTCTGCGTGAAGTAGTAGCGGTCAGACGTGAAGGCGTACACGGGACGCCCCTGCAGCCCACCAACGCACCAACCCACCACACCCACCACAGGTCTGTGTGTGTGTGCGCCTCGGTGCACACACACACACCCGCACCGACTGACCGACTAACCTGGAAGACGTCGAACCAGCCCCACTTGACCTCCTTCCACTGCTTCTGCACTTCACGAGGGAACCGGATCTGACACACACACACACACACACACACATCGGTGAAGGAATGGCGCACACCGCGCCCCCCCAGCTACCCACCTGGATGTCGTGCGATCCCGCCGGCAAAGCGATCCGCGTTATCACCTCCTCGGCATAGACCTGTTTGTGCATCGCACCCCACACACGCACACACAGACAGACACACACACACACACAGACAGACAGATAGACAGACAGACATCCATGTGTGTGTGCGTGTCTGCCTGGCAGGGCAAGGGAGGACCGGACCTCCTTGATTGGGTGCGAGAAGGGTATGTTGAGGACGTGCTGCGACGGCCGGGTCTTGTTGACAAACAGCACACTCGCCGAGGGCACGTTGTACTGCAGCTGCCTGCAAAGTCAGAGAGAGGGAGAGAGAGAGAGAGACCCTTCGTGTGTTCTCTCTCTCTCTCCCTCCCTCCCTGTCAGTGTGTGTGTGTGTCTGACCAATCGGCGTTCCATCCGCCCAGGATGGGGTACCGCGGCCGCAGGTCGAGACGGACGTAAGTGCGATTCTAAAGGCCGACACATCCATCAGTCAGGACGCGAGACGCACACACACTAGTGAGTGGGTGGGGGCCCGTGAGCGGCTCACTCACTTTGCTGATGGCGACTGTGGAGGTGGATATGTTGCCTATGTGGTCGCTGAAGCGGACACAGTCACATCACACACACACGGATACACCGATCCAAAATCGATGAGTACTTCTGCTGCGTGTGGGCGTGGCGTGTCTAGCTCTGCCCTGCCCTGCCCTATTGCCCTGCCCGCACTCACTAGTAGTGGAGCCCCTGCAGAGGGTAGGGTATCCTCGCAGCTGAAACACACACACACACACACACGCACACGCACACACATCCATCCAACAGTGTGTGTGTGCGTGTGTGTGCGCGGCCTTTTGACTCACTGAGTTTCTCGATGGCGTGTGGCGGATATCTGCGGGTCATGAAGGGGATCCGGCTGAACTCGCCCTTCAAGCCAGCAGCGGCTGCACCAACGACACACACATCCATCCATCCATCCATGTGTGTGTGTGTGTGTGTGTTGAGAGTGTGTGCCGACCGTTGTAAAGCTGGAAGGACTCGTGGAAGAAGACGTTGCCCCAGTGAGACACCTGTAAGCAAAACAAGTAACCGACAGGCAGAGCAACATACACACGTGTGGCGTGCTGTGCTGTGCTGCGCTGCGTTGTGTTGTGTTGTGTGTCAGTGAGACCATGGCCGACCTCTATGTCCCTGACGACCCTTCTCAGGATGGGCAGCGGCTTGGGCATCGAGCAGTGAACAGACACGAACTGCTTATCGCCCTCACCTGCACACGACACACAGACATGCTTTGGCTTTGGGGGGATGGGAGGGAACAACACATGGCCCGGGGACCGGGCCGACCGACCCGTGTAGTATGGTGGGGTCTCCTTCGTGAAGGGGCCGTATGAGACGGTCCGCTTCGACACGTCGGAGGAACTGTTCTTGAGCTTGGGCTTGTAAGACCTGCAGACGTGGACAGCGATGGACAGACAGACAGACAGACAATGCCCACCCAGCCACCCAGCCATCCAGCCATCCAGTTAGTCGCCCATATGCAGACCGACCTTATGTCTTTGGTGGCGGTTTTGATCTTGAGCCACTGCTCCTTCACTCTGTAGGGGGTGAAGAAATACAGCAGGTCCGAGTACACCACTTCATGCTCATCCTGCACACACACACAAAACAAAGGCCATGCCATGGGAGGGGGCACATTGTGTGTGTGATGTATGTGTGTATGTGTGCAGCTGCTGTGCGGTGTCTGCGGTGTGGTGTGTCTTGATGCGTGCGCACATCGATGTTGATCTTCCTGGGCAGCGGGACCAGCGCGTTGCCGAGGAACATGGTCACTTGTATGGCGGCCGTCTTCTTGGGCTCTATCTGGCGCTTCATCATGACCTTGTAGTGCACGACCTCCTCACTCTCCGCCCCCTCCATCTCGTACTCAGTCGCCTCCAGCGGCATGCCTCTTTCGTCCTCGGCCAGTATCCAGCCTGACACATACACAACACCACACACACATATCCCTCTCTCTGCACACGGGCATTCTCTGCTCTGTCCGTCTGTGTGTCTGTCTGTCTGTCTGTCTGTCTGGGTGTACAGTCAGTACCAGTGAAGTTGGCCTGCCATTTGGGGACTGCCCAGAAGAACTTGCTCACGCCCTTGGCGCCCTCGTTGGCGAAGGTGATGGCGGCCACTGAGCTGACCACGGGCTTCTCGGTGTCGATGGTCCGCTCGACGGTCGTGATGACCAGATCTGAACCGACCGCCTTGTCGCAGGATGCAAAACCAGCTGCAAGGCCACAGGCGATGACACACACTAAAGGCAAACGCCTCATGATCAAAACTGGAGAGAGAAGCCGAGAGATCTGCACTGGGATGGTTAGGGTGTAGGGTGTAGGGTTTTCAAACCCTGCTCACAGACTTTCCTCGAAGCAGAAAGACCATACGAAGGCAAACAGTATTTGTGAGCGATGGCGGAAGGGGAAAAGATATGTGGTTGTGGTTGATGGATGGATGTGCGCGCGCGTGACACTGTGCGTGTGTGCGTGTGTGTGTGTGCAGGTCTGTCCGTATGATCCTCATCCGATGGCGCATGTGGTGCCTTACGAGGTCTGGCGAGACCAGGTGTTGTCCAATCTCGACGTCTGCGACTTCAGCAGGGTCAGATCTTCGTCACGCGCCAGCGGCACCTCCGTCATCGGCTGTGATTTCATCTTCCGGCGCATCGACGCATTGCTGAGGCGCTATGGGCTGAGTGGGCTGATTGACGTCGACAGACATGGCGGGACGGCTGGGGCGGCTCCGCTGCCCGGCGGCCTCTCGCGCATCGACTACCTGTGCCGCGTGCTGTATCTGCTGGAGCGTGGTGGTCGTCTGTGGGCGTGGCTGGGCGGCTTCCTCCGTGTGGCGGCCATCTATCGGCTGACCCCCGCTATGCCTCTGGTGATATCGGCCGAGTGGGTGCAGCAGCACTGGCCCACCAGGGCCGCCGTGCACCAGCTGCCGCTCGCACTGGCCATCTACAAGACCATCGGCCATCTGCTCAGCTACGAGGGCGACAGCCTGGCCCTGACCACAGACGAGCAGACGAACGAGAATGAGGCTGGCGAGGTGAGATACACACGAGGAGGCATTCATGACGCGCGGCCTTACACGTTTCTTGATGATACACGCGTCGTGCAGGATGATGGTGACGATGAGAACCACATCTATCCCCACAAGGTCGGCAAAGTGCGGTTCCGCGTCATGGCTGCCGAGCACACAGACGACCCGGCTGTTGAAGAGGACGACGTCCACAGTGCCGATCGGTATCGCTACGAGCGGTTCTCTGCCTTCATGATGGACAACCTCCTGGTCTACTGGTGGCCTCGCCCACCATGCGGCCCCCGCCAGCCCAGCACCCTGGTACTCGAGGCCCCCGCACGATCGGGTGATGCCCGCTATGGAGCCTTCATGGCGACTGACGCATTTGGCGACTGTGTGGTGGTCGACATGCGTCAGCGGGGGTGGGGTGTGGGAGTGGTGGTGCGGCAGGTGCTGTTGTGCGGCCACCGGGCGGACGAGGCGATTGTGGCTCATCTGACCGTGCGGCGGGGCGGCAAGATCAGCCTGTTCACGACGGAGAGGCGTGTGCACGGTGTTGGCGGTGATCTGTCTGCAGGGGATGAGTGCTATCCCATTACCGTCCGCCATGCCCGTGATGTGCTCAGACGAGTCAGACTAGAGAGGGAGGTCATAGACCAGGGTACTCGTGTCGACGACGACGGCGAGTGAGTAGCTTAATCGCCTCTTGTCTGTCTGTCTGTCTGTCTGCCGTGTGTGGCATATGTCGGTATCTGACGGGCCTTCTTGAGGGTGTGGTGTGGCGTGTTTGCCTGCCATGCATTGCATGCGGTCAGTAACTGTGTGGGCTGGACAGGACAACAAATGTAATAAGCCGTGTGGGCTGTACAGTACACTCGTATACACGTCACGACGACCGTCGCTCTCATCACTCGCCACTTGTCCATCCATCCATCCATCGCTCTCTGACAGTTGGTCACTCGAATCTGTGTTCGCTCATGAGCTGGTAGAGGTACTTGAAACTAAGCAGACCGGTGGTCACCAGCACCACGTCGATCTGAAGCTGCGCATGACACAGACACAGAGACAGAGACAAAGACAATGCGAGGTGCGTGATGTTATGTGTGAGCCCGGGCGTGGCGTACCTCATCTGATATTTCGTAAACGGATCTGATCTCAGAGTGGGTGGCGCCGCCGAGAAGGAAGACCAGCAGCCGACTGCGGGAGGAGCGGCCGGAGATGTCTCCCTGTCGCGGATCCTCACCCTGTGTGAGGGTAACGCAACACACACGTGTGGCGTACATACACAGACAGACAGACAGACACACGTACCTCTTGGGTCCATCCCCAGTCCCATTGCGACGCCCCGCCAGGCCGACCCGCAACGCCACCCACCCCTGCACACACACACACATGAGCCGACGGACAGACAGACAGACAGACACATAAGTGACAGACACATAAGTTGGATACATCGATCGGCCCCCGGCTCAGGCCTTGCTGACCTCTCGAGGCTGTGGCGGCGACTTTGACACTGGTGCCGGCCCTGCCCGACACACATAGATATCACGCGCACACGTGTACGTGTGGGGGTCTGTGTGAGTGTGTGTGGGATGGGAGGGGGGGGTGGGGGGGGTGGGAGGGGGAGAGGGGGGTTGAGTAGGTAGGTAGCCTCGCTTCATTCACTCACTGAGTAGGGTCGTGGATGTATGGGTATTGGCTGCGGTCGAGCTGGTCCTGAGCCGCCCTCTACACACACGCACGCACACACTCCACATATCTATCTTGTCATGTCAAATGGGCAGGCAGACACCCACGCACCTCACCTGCACGATGTCCTTGAGGCCCGGCTCGAACCTCGATAGCTCGAAGTTGACCGTACGGGCACGCTGCACACACACACACACGATGCGCAGCGTGAAGAGAGAGACAGACAGACAGCCATCCCGCGGTCACATAGGTACCGTTTTGAAGTACTTGAGCCGCTCCTTGTCCGTCCGGTGGTGGTGTTTGTTCTGCACACACGAGACGGACAGACAGGGACACAGACACACGTGTGTGTGTGTGCGTGCAGTGTCATGATAGATGTCCTTAGACGTCCCTCCACACGCACGGGTGCTTTGGGTGGGATGGACGAGGCGAAGCGGGGCAGGTGGAGGCCGCCTACACCCATACACACACACACAGGGGAAAGATCGAGTGTGTGTGTCAGTGTGTGAACACGTGGACGTGTGTGTGTGTCAGTGTGTATGTTCACATTTGAGCAGGTTGAGGATGCACGTCTGCTCCTCCTCTCCCAGCCGGGCCGCGTCCATCATCTGATTGAGTCAGTGAGTGAGTGATTGGTTGATCGATTGCAATCACTGTGGTTCCTCACTGACCTTCTTTCTGTCGTCTTCCTTGATGCCGTCCATCTGTGTGAAGTAGAGCATCAGCAGACGCAACTTCTCCTCCACCCTGCCCTCACGCACACACACACACACGTGGTTGGACAGACAACAATGTCTGTGTGTCAGTGTCTGTGTGAGTGTCCGTGTGAGTGTGAGTGTGAGAGATTACCCAATGGCGGGGTCGCTGAGGAGTGTGCCCATGGTGGAGAGCAGCTTGGGCGGGCTGACGTTGTTGCCGTCCTTGTCAATCCCTGTGGCCAAATCCTGCACACCACACACACACACACAGAACGTTCTGTGGTCTCTCTCCCTCCCTCTCCCTCCCTCCCTCCCTCCCTCTGCCTCTCTCTCTCGCCCCCGGCTGGCCATTCCCTCAGGGACTGCACTGCACTGCACTCACCTGTTCGATTGAGCCAATCTTCATAAGGCTTCTCCTCTCCAGCTCAGCGAAGCACTGCTCGCTCATGGTGCAGTGCACCCAATACTGATGGATGGATGGATGGCAACACCACACCACACACACGCACAAGCACAAGCACCCGAGTCAATGCGCAAATCTCTCTCTCTTTCTCTCGGTCTGACTGAGTGAGTGTGAGTGAGTGAGTGAGTGCCTTTGAGAGCATCTCTTGGTATTGCGGCAGCTGCCGGATCGCTGCTGCAGTCGCCTCGGTGTTCATGTGCCTCTGACACATACACACACACATTCCATTTACACAGAGAGGGGGAGCGGTGGAGACGTGTGACATGCCCGGCATCCATCCATCCATCCATCCATGTGTGTGTGTGTGTGTGTGTCCGTGTGTTTGTCTTTGTGTTTGTCCTTACGTCTCCTCTGTGTATCCTGGCGACGTCGTGCTCTTTGGCAAACTTGCGCACCTCCTCGGTGACAGTGTCGTTGACCACACTGATGTGCTGATGCCTACACACACACACACACACACACACAGAGAGAGAGAGAGAGAGAGAGGGAGGGAGATTATGGATTGATTTGCGTGTGAACGACAGACAGACAGACAGACAGACGTACGCACCTGAATCTGACCCAGAGCTCATCTGCATCACTCAAGACCGCCTGTTAAAGTGGGTGGGGCATAGCAAGTATGTTTTTGTGTGTGTGTGGCATGGCGCATGCACTTTCCCTCTCTCTCTCTCTCTCTCTGTGAAGGGTCGTGTGGCGTGTGACCTACCGTCTTCTTGCCGGTCTGTCCAAGATTGTCGGTGAACTCATAGCTGCCACACACACAAACACACACACACACACAAGATGCAGGCACACACACGGAGAGAGGGGGTCGGGTCGGGTCGGGCGTACGCGAAGGTGTCGTCTTGTTTGGCCTGTGTCTCCTCGTCGGCCGGCTGCATGCTCCGCATGCTCTTCAACTTCTCGTATCCACCTGCACACCACACACGCCATGCGGCATAGACACTATTGATTGATTGTAGCATTTCTGTGTGTCGTGTGCACGTGTGTGTGGCCCGGCCGCATGTCATTTGTGTGGCAGGCACCTACCCTACCTGATTGTGTCGATGGCCGCGGAGCCGACGTCTGTGCGCCAGTGCCCGACAGCTGACAGACAGACAGACAGACAGACAGACAGACACTCAGCCAATACACACACGCGCACATTCAGTTCAGACAGACCCCCCGGGGCCACACACCACACCTGTATATCGAGCACGTCATAGGCCATGGCTTGGTAGGTGTACTCGTGCAGCAGCAGGGCCGCCGTGTCGACCGACCGGTCCAGCACCAACAGAGTCGTCGGCTGACCGCCAGACGACGAGGCCTGACACACACACACCACACCGCAGCGCAGGCGCCATGGAACACGCACACAGACACGCTCATGTGGGTATCATGTGCCCGCTAGCTACCTGCTTGGCGGTCCTCTTAGGGAGGTTTCTCTCGATCTTGGCCTGGACGAGGTTGGCCAGCTGCTCACAGACGGTGACTGGAGGCAGGCCTGTGGAGGGATGCCATGCGTAGACACACACACACACACACGAAGGCATGTTCGGAGAGAGACGCATGTGTGTTCGGTTCGTGTGTGGGGCCTTGCCTTGTATTGACGCGTTTGGCTTCATGTATCTGACGTAAGGGGTCTCGCCCAGCGTCGCACAAACAGACACAATCTAAATGACCACACGCCCACGCCCACACACATAAACCACGTGCATCCAGGCAGGCAATGGATCCGTGTGAGGCTCAGGCACCTTGTCAGCGATGTCGTGGAGCAGCTCCGGCCTCTTGAGGGGGAACAGCTCACGCAACAAGTAGGGCGAGTCGAAATGCACCACACGCTGCTCGTGCGCTGCAAACGTCCAGTGCACACAGACACACACACACCCATCCTCCACCTATCCCTCTCTCTCTCCCTCTCTCTCTCTCTCTGTGTGTGTGTGTGTGTATGTGTGTGTGATGGCTGCACAAAAGGCGACCAATAAAGTTGAGGTTGAACTCCACAAAGGTTTTGACGCGCGGGAACAGCCGCGGGTCGCTCGCGATCTTCTCCATCACACCACTGTCCCTGCCTGCACACACACACACGCGGACGCTGCGGACAGAGTGCAATGCGCAATCGTCCTGCCCGTGCGCCGGCTGACCGATGGCCGACGAGAAGAACAGATGCACGTTCTTGTACTGCGGCCGCTTCTCCTTCTCGAAGTCCTTTCATATACACACACACACCGCGACAAAGGAAAGATGCAGAAGGCACCCGCGGCCACAGACACCATCACGTGACATGAGGTGCCTCGATCCGCCCACCCCCACCACCCCCACCAACTTACCTTGACGAGGAGTTCGATGACCGGCAGTTCAGGTGAGAGGAAGTAGAGTGCGTCCAGCTGGGGCAGCGGCTGCCGACGCTTCTCGATCTTCTCGACAACTGCATGCCATGCGCCATCAACCCCCCCCCCCCCC